GAATGGGATGCAAATGATCTATGCCTAGCCGCCATTGTTTGAGACAGAACTTCAACACCTTGCTCGTCCTGCCTCAGACTCCAATCTCTAGAATTCTGGGATTACTAGCCTGTGCCACCATCCCTGTCCTGTCCCTGAATTTCTCAGTTATCTGAATCAACATCTTCTGGCTTTTCTTGTTTATCTTCGGTAGCACAAAATGGAAATCCATTTAAAGGAGGCTTAACATCTAAATGTGGGAAGTGGAAACACAAGTCCAGAGTGTTTCCCCCAGACTGTTAGTCAATGAGACATAGATGAGGCAAAATAGGACTGCACTGGAGAGACTTCACTGTCTTCCTCAGCCCACAGAAACTGTCCTTAGACCTGCTTCTCAGCTGCTCTTCCTGGCTGGCAACAGGGAAGAACACTTCGGAAACCTGTCTTCTGATCCACAGCAGCCTGGATTCAGCTCCATTCTCCTACACCGGCCAACACAGCTCTAACACCCACTGTCTCTACTTACAAACAGGTTAGGGAAGGTGCCTCACCTAGGCCAACTTTGCCCCAAAGACTTAATGGAACAACAGGTCGGATGGACATTCTGAGAGCAGTGTTGTAACACCAGACATCTCAGTGTTAGCAACTGCAGAGTAGAACTCTGGAGACTATAGAAATCAGAAAGAGACCTACAGTCAGTTCTTCCTGCCTCTCCAGACACATGAGCTAGCTGATGGCTGAAACATGTCAGTTGATCCACATGCATTTAACCATGCTTTCCAACAAAACCCTTAAGAGATTAAAAAGAAAATAAAGAGGATTCTTCCCCCAACCTAATAATATACCTAAGCAACTTTCCTCGTCAATGAAGGAAGCTCATATGCAGGCAGGGCTATTCTCCACTGACTTCCCAGTAGTACAGAAAAAGATGGGTTCTAACCCACAGTCACTCCGTCAGGGTCCCACATACCACCAGAGCTTTTCATTTTCTGAGCTGACAGCCAGAGCTCGGGTCTCTTCGGACACAGAGCAGTTAACCTTACCACTACATCTAAAAAACATTCTGCAGAGGAGGGTACACAAGGTGTGTGCAGGCAGAGTGTCAATAAGCAGGAGTTACGGAGGGCCACTAACTAAAAAGGACTGATAAAAAGCTACAGGTCAAATGGACCTGCCACACCTCCTGTAAATGCTACATGAAGTCATTACTTCAGTGTACTACAAGACTTTCTAGTCAGCCACTAATGCACACACGGACGGAAATGAGTAGCCAGGCTCGAGTGCCCGACATCTCAAGACACACCTGAGGTACACTTCAGCCACCAGTACAATCTTCATTACAAACAGATGTCAGGCAAGGATACCATTCATCAAGTCTTACCAATATTTTACATGGATGAACATCTGAAGACATATTAATAGAATTATTCTACACATGTGGTACTTACGTGTGTGCATGCTTGTGCGGGTCTATGCAGTGTGGAAGGGTATGCACGTATGTGTGTGCGACAACAGACATGACTGTCAGGTGTCTTCAGTTACTCTCTCTGTGGTCTCATTGAAACTCGATACTCATTAGGCTAGGGTGACCAACCAGGGAGCCCTGGAGATCCCCTGGCAAGCACTTTCCAGACTGAGAGATCTCCCCAAACTCCAATATAACTGTTTTTATCTTACATCCTAACCCTCACAATAGCCCTTTAACATCATAAGAGAAGCCATAAAACCCTAGACACCTAAAAACCTTTATTATGAATTTTAAGAAACACACCACCTTTCCCATTAACCGTCTACATGGAGAGAGTGCCCAACACACGTTTCTTGGTAGAACGGTACCAAATGTTCGGTGACACATCCTATCAAGTTCTTTTAAGGCCTCTCCAAAGTGTTGCCCACACCAGGGAGGTCAGAAGCACTGGTGTGCCTTTTAACAGACACATTTTTGTGCTCCTGCAGACCTGCAGGCTCAGAATCCTCCGAGTGGGCATTAAAATCCTGCATGCTTCACAAGCTCTTGGAGTGATTCTCTCTCGGGCTTAGAGCCCAGAGCTTCAGGGTTACAGCACACCAACCCACACGGAGGAAAAAAAAGGAAAAATAAAAAAATAAAAATGGAAACCAAGGGAGACCTAAGACGAATTAAGAACCCGAAGTGCAATTCGTAGGACAGGCATGTTCATTCTTTCCTGGACAAGGAATGGAAATGAGGCTGGATTTCCCCGGGCCAGGCCTGCCAGGTAGAAGAGGACAAGGCAGGCAGTTAATCTGGGGAGTGTGGTGAGGAAAAGAAGACAGATCTCCTGTTTGCAATAGTTCAAACACATTACTCAGGCTTAAACTGTCCACATGTTTTCTTACAGGTCTTCTCTTCTACAAAGCAGAAATCTGTTTAAAAATCTAAGAGCCACTTGAAAAACTGAAATGGTGATTAGCTGTCTGGAACCCAGAACATAAACAAAACAGTGCAGGGTCCTACAAAATAGCCTTCCTCTTTAGAATTCTACAGCTGTTCAAACACCTCAATCCTCCCCTATACCCTTAAGTAAAGATGGACAGACAAACAAATATTATCAAGAAAAACATTACAAAGGGGCAGCAAGATGGTTCAGCAGGTAAGCGTGCTTGCGGACAAGCCTGACATCCAGAGTTCAAGTCCCAGAAGGAAAACCAGCTCCTACAAGCTGTCCCTTTATTGCCACACATAAGCCACAGCATAAGTACTCGCCTCACCCCCTACGTAGGAAAAGAAACAAAGAGAGATAAAAATAAATAAACTTTTCTTTAAAAAAATGACAAGATTAAAAATACATCTTAATTATAGGAGGAACAAAACAGGGTATGGACATTTGAATTTATACACTGTTGGGGTTTTGTTTTTTGTTTTTAAGAAAGAAAACAAGGAAGAAAGGTAGGCATAAATTTACACCTCATGTGGTGGGGGTCGTCATTTCCTGTAACTACTTTACACTTGATAAGGATTTACAGCTTCTTCATCTCAGGTTTCAGGGTTCCCCCTACACAAACACTTCATTTACACTTCAGGTCAAATGGGAAACAGAAGTACACCAAGGTTCACACAGCCACACCACCTCCGTCTGAGACATGCCCCAAGAGTGGTTCCATCTGCCCAAACAGGAAGGCAGGTCAGCAGTCACTGGCACGGCATAGAAAGAAGCCACAAAGGAAAAAATTTATCAGCTAACATAATTTTACAAGCTCCTATTTTTACTGTCCAATGCCCTCCAAAACTCATTCAGAGACCACTAATTGCAGGTAATGCATGGTGCCATTAGTTAGCACAGCTGATCCCACAGCACTGCCTTAACAAGCCTGGTGGAGATGTGGAAATCACCAGTAACCCATTGCTAAGGATACTCACGCAACCATCTAACTGGCACACAAGATGCTCCACTGCCTACCAAGGGGTAGGGGTGGGGGGGGGGGGGCAAAAGAGAAGTTGTGACACGGAGCCTTTGTGCCTGTCACTCGGGTCTACGTAATTCCATCATCCTGTGGCTGCCCATCCCCACAACCATGGAGACGCAGAAAGTCACTGACTGGAGGAATTTGATCTTGCCCTTTTATATTATTTCTTCCTACAAATTAAGGTCGTTTTTAATAAGTAGAGAACATGCTTTTAAGAATCCATGAAACAACCTTAATCACTTGCATAAAGTTAAAAACAAAACCTAGTAAACTGCCAGAGAAATCCAGAAAGTGGAGTACAGCCCCACAAGTAAGGCTAACTTATCCATTCCTCCACGTTTCTGTTTAGTGGCATCGGGAAAGTTATTAACTTTATTTTCTGCATTAAGTGGAGATCTCTCTATACTCCCTAAAGCGCTGTATTAACAATGTTTCCAAAGTCTTGGAAAATGTACAGTCTATTCTGGTCCCACCAGGATTTCACAGGCCTGGGGATCTGCCATTATCATCCAATTTTACTTAATATCTCACGAAACTCATATTTTAATGCGTAGAATCTGAGAACTAGTGATAGGACCCGTGTGAGGGGTTAGGAAAAACAAATATGCGCGTGAAAATACTGGGCAACTGTATCTAAGACAGTCAAGATACGAATTAGTGAGTTTGCATCCATGTATTTCTGCCTAAACAGAAGCAAGGCAAAAGTTTAGATAGTTCTGTATTATAGGAAGTAATTATGTAAGTTGAGGCTGACGACTTCCACCAAGTTACAGCTGGACACACCAATCTCAAATCGTCCAACTGTCACTCATTACTTAGGTATAAGGGCACGGACCATCATGCATACTACAGCTATGAACACAGCAGAAAATAAAAATAAACACAGCGCTCATCAAAGACATAAACACCAATGGGCCAGCTTGCAAAAGGAGAAAGTGGCTCCAGTTTGGCAGAGACGTAAACTTTAAGAGTGAGTCAAGACGGCCCTGCACCGAGTTCAAGCCCAGCCTGGAAGTCCATCCCATCCCGTTCTCCGGGGACGCTCGAAAGCTGCGGGATTCCGACCGCCAGGGGCCAACACCGGCTTCCAGGTGGAGCTCCAGCCCGGTGGCGGCCGCGACCCAGTCGCGCCAGGTGCAGACGCCGCCGCCGA